ATGCAGTAGATGTGATATATATATATATATATAACACATCATATATATATAATGGAATATCACTCAGCCATAAAAAAGAATAAAATCTTGCCATTTGCAACAACATGTATGGATCAACAGAGTTTTTTTATCCATTCTGGAACTCGAAAGACAAGCTGCACATGTGTAAGAAAGTAAAGGTCAGCATTCTACTCTGTGGTTCTACCTTCTTAAAATCCCAAACATCTCTTTTGGTGGCAGAGGAAGGACAAACAAGCTAATCATAGACTCTATGACATATGACATAGAGCATGGGAGTCCATGAAGATGGTAGGTGATGAAAAAGAGAACTTAGTCCAGCCAGCTTGGCTAAGTGGTTGGGCATTGACCTATGAACCAGGAAGCCAAGGTTTGATTCCCAGTCAGGGCACATGCCAGGGTTGCGGGCTCATTCCCCAGAAGCGTGGGGGCGTGCAGGAGGCAGCCGGTGAAATGATTCTCTCATCATCGATGTTCCTATCTCTTTCTCTCTCCCTCTCTTTTTCTCTCCCAAATCAATAAAAATAAAGCAATGAGTGGCTGAGCCAAAACTAGGTCTGGAGGTCTCCCCTGCCCTTTGAGGGGTTGAAGGCAAGAGGGTAAGCTGCCCATTCAGTCCCATAATTTTTTTTAACAATCCACAATAATACATTTATTTGTTTATTTGCTTGTTTTTCCTTTTTTTTTTTTTTTTTTTAGAGATAGTAGAAGAGAGGGGGAGAGAGAGAGAGAGAAACATCGATGTGAAAGAGACACATCTATTGGTTGCCTCCCACACATGCCTGGACCAGGGCCAGGGATGGGGCCTGCAACCGAGGTCCGTGCCCTTGACCAGAATTGAACCCGGGACCCTTCAGTCCATGGGCCGACACTCTATCCACTGAGCCAGACGGGCCAGGGCCAGTCCCATAATTTGATGGAGTAAAAGCCAAGACTCGGGCCAGGTTGGCAATTATGGCACAGAGTCTACTGATGAGGGGAAGGGGTTCCCTGTTTCTAACTATGGGTCTCGGTGCCCACCCCCCTCACCAGCCTTCATGCAGCAGCATTCTGACCCCCAGCAGCATTCTGACTTCCTGACCCCCAAGCCCTTCCTTCCCTTCATTTCCGGCGCCCCCTCTCCCCATCCTCCGCCCCAGGTACGCCATCCCCTCCCCACCTCCTGCGGAGAATGGCCTCCCTGTTGGAGGCCTGGCAGGGTCCCCGTCCTCCCATCAAAGCCCGAGTGAGGCCGGACACTTGGAACCCAGACAGAATGGAATGTCTCCCTATTTTCTTTGCAGCCAAGAAAACACACACAAACCCGGGAGCCTATTTATCGGCGATATTTCTATCCCAAAGTTTGTCTTTAAAAGAAAAAGAAGAAATAAAATTAGTTTTG